GAAGCAAAGTGAGTGTTTCACCCCCGTAGATGGTATTTATGGCTTAACAGCAATTCTAATACTTTAAGTCGCGATGTCATATTGCACGCTTGTCAGTTAAGTCGTAATGTTATTGAGTACGGACACTCTTAACGCCATTGGTGCGTTTTGTGATCTGTCTTGTGTTTTTGTGAACTCCTTAAGGGGTTGAATTCAACCCCTTATGAGTTTCTGGTTTTGTACGATTTTTGGTTTGTTTTTTGTTGTGGTTATTTTCTTTAATCTTTTCATGTAAAACATTTTTTCTTGTGAATTAGAAGTCATATTTTAAACTCAATATTTTTCTACTTTTTCTTTTGTCTTTTCTCTTTCCACGGTAATCTTTTTTAGTGTTATTTTCATTTTCTGATTTCTCAACAACAAAAATGTTCATTACACGTTTACTTACAATACTACTGATAAAATTTTAAAAAAAGACTGTTAAGCTTAAACAAGTTCAAAGACAAGTATCTTTCAATAAAACATCGAGATGGGATTATGTCCTACTTTTTTCTTGGCCTTTGAGTTTGGAGAGCGAAGACAGTGCATTTTATACACTTAAAGGTTATCAAAGACGACCGGAGTTCACCGAAGTTAACGTTTGATGTTACCATGTTACAGAAAGTTTAGCTCAGCTATTCTGAAACAGTTAAATCTTGACGGCAGTTATTTCACAATGCTTCCACTGCATGTAGTTTGGACTTATCAACATAAATAACTGTGTTATAACTGCCTCATGTTCCATATGATGATCATATGATCTTTCATCTTTTCGTTCTTCCTCTTCATCGAAATCTTCTCCAAGAAACAAAGTTTTGTGAGTATCTGCATCAAATTCGTGTTTTCTCTCTGATTTGGGAGAATTTGATAAAAGATCAAATCACTGTTTTCCTGCAGGCGATCATTTTATTAATTCAAGTAACCTTTTTTCTTTACTATGCATTGATATTCTTCGAAGAAAATTGAAGTTAATCACTGAGATCTCTTTCCCACCCAAACAGCCAAGAACCTAGACGGCGGGTAGTCTCTCTTGTTGCTCGAAAATCTCTTTGAGCAAGCGCGTTATATCAGCATGTGAAAGCAGCGCGTTGTGCGGGCTCCAGTACGAGCGAAAAAAGAGGCTGCTCTGGTTTCATGCATGCAGCATTTCTGAAGCCCGTAACTCTGGTAACGAAAAGTATGGATTGGCCGGTCTATAAAGTGATAACGTGCATCTGTTTTATTAACTGTTCAACAACACCATTTTGAGACCCGCTCTACTATTTAAGAGGCTGTCCGGGTAGAAAGAATAAGGCAAATCTTCGATATTCAACGATTTCCTAAATTTGTCTTATCTTGCGATAAATTCGCATACAAATCCTTATAAGTTGGCATCGAGAAGACTGTTGTCATTGTGGGTTCCCTGTGTCTACGCCGGTCTTGGTAAACTTTTGGACCCTGGAAACCAGGCTGGAGCTAATGCTTCAACACTTTTCATCTAGCATTCTTTTATCCAGACTCCCCAGGCCAATTTAGTTTAAAATTCTGTTATTTGTGCGGCTAATCATCATTTGAGTCTTCTGGTGACTACCGCGCCCAGCACCCTGAGTGGACTGATGAAAGTGGCATTGGACTTGACTTAGCACATCCTTCGGTATGTCAAATACTATTCTGTCCTTTTAGAATTGTGCATATATTTTTGCCATTTAAATGGCAATTAATGCACTGTTGATCACGCGATTGTTGACCACTTGCTTCGACTTCTAGCAATTTGTTGCGAGATGTATCTCAGTTCTTGGTACTTTTCCAAGTGTCACTTCCCTAAGTGTCACGTTTTCAAGTTCATCATTTGAGTGATCTATGAATAGTTAGGGATACGTTTTAAGTTTGAAAGCGGAAATACATGTGGAGTCCGCAATCAAATAAAGCATATCTTTAGTTTGTCCATGTTAATTAATACCTCAGGGTTGTTCTTGCGCTTATTTGTGGTTTGGTAATAACTGTCACATGTAGTAGTAATGTTCAGAGCAGATTTTACAATAGCGGATGCAGCTGAAGTTTCGTTAATTGAATACACTCGTCTTTCACACAAAAGCCATCTAAAAGAATCGATTTTTCTAGAAAATCAGTCATCCATCGGCAGGAGCAGTCATGCCCAAAGGCAAAAATGTTTTTATATGACTGTAGTTAATAAATTCCATTGTAACATTAGTGCCTTTTTTACGATGAAAACAATAACGTTATTCTAAAGTTGACAAACTTTAAGTCAACATTACTGACTCGGCTTCAGATAGTAAACTGAATCCTTTGTCACGGGATCATTCTTTATTTAAAGAGGCACTGAAGCGGTGAACAAAGCTAAAATTACCATTGCTCAAAACAAGTTCCTACATTTAATAAACAGACATGATAAAGCATCCAAGTGGTGGAAATTTCGCCTCTTCTAATCATCGCAAAAACAAATCAGTTCAACAAAACGTTCTTTCTTTACTTTCTTTGACCACTCCATTTCGATTTAACTGAATATTTTTCATCCCTACCATTAAAGCCTTAGTATGCTTGCTGGGTTAAATTGCGATTAGCATAATAAGAGTAATAAACAGTTTCGGCCTCAAACCATTTGTGTCGGAGTTCCACAGTAGTTTCAGAATACGAACGGTAGATAGTGTTCAAGAAGCAGTCGACACCACTGATACAGAGACAGTCCTGTGTGCTTTGTTGTTAAAATACAATCATAGACAGGAGACTGGGCTCCTGAGAGGAGCCTATAATAAACCATTCCCTTTATTAGGGACCCCAGCCAAATGCAATAATGTATTGGGACGTATAGGACGATTCGAAAAATTATAGTTTTACCTTTGAGGGGGGAATGATGGAGATTTGGTTTACAGGAATTGCACCGCGGGGAAACATGTTTGCTTGTGAATACATTGACCAGGTTTAAAATTCACCATCACATCTCTATCATTACGCATAAGTCCTAGCAGTATGTATGCAGGATGTTTGGCACATGGACTAAGTTTAGTGGCCTTAGCTCCTAAGGCCATTTCTAGATTAGGAACTCCGGACAAATGTAACTGCGCTGTAAGGAAAGGTAGAAGAAGGGTAGATGTGGCTCGATATACAGTCGATAATGTGTAAGTGGAGGAGTAGGAGAAACAATTGAAATCTGGTGGTGGTTGTGGTTGTCGGAAAGCAATAAAAACGTGCAAAAGCAAAAAAGGGAGAAGCAAAAAAAATATTTTTCGTGGTAGATAAGCTGCACAGTAGTTTTCAAGGAGGTATAATAACTCCTCTAGTGGGGTTAATTTAACTCCTTACAGTGGAGTTATTTTTTGGGGAGTTATTTTAACTCCAAAATTTTCAGAAGTAAAAATGACCCTAGATATTGAGGAGTTAAAAAAAACCCCAAACAAGGAGTTATCCTGTACCTAAAATTTTTACTCCACTTTCAGAGTTAAAGTAACTCCAAAAAGAGTAAAAACAACCCATGCAAGGAGTAAAAATAAACGCATTTTCGGAGTTATTTTAACTCCAGACTGGGAGTAAAAAGAACTCTTTTTCAGGGGTAAAAATGACCCCAAATTTGGAGTTAAATTAGGAGTTAAAGTAACCTCAAAAGAGGGGTTATCCTGTACCTAAAATTTTTACTCCATTTTTCAGTTATAATAACTCCCTAAACATTACAGTGTAGTTTGCCTTCGTTCTCATTAAATATGTACGATTTGCGGGCCAAGAATCAGTGAACGGGAACTGCAAGAATTTGTTGCACAATGAAAGCGGCAGGAAATAGAACTTGCATAATTACGTTACGATTGACTCAGTCATGATCTTTAAGTCACAGGCACCTTTAGTTAGTGCTTATTCCTTCAATAACATGGATCAACCAATGAATACTTTAATTGATCAATAAAAACCTTTCCAACAGGTTAAAACACATAAAAGTAGCACGTGAGACTCCCCCGCATTTTATTCATGAGATAAAGACAAAAACGCTATGATGTCAACGGTGTAAATATATATTCCACTTTACTTTCTTCACGCCATGGGAAGACAGTCAGTATCGTGATAAACATTCTGTGAAAATTCAAAGACAACCTAGCAGTGGTTTAGCTGTGTGCAGCAGGCTATTATAGTGGATGTGAATAACGTTAATCAATTGATAAATTGGCACTTTAATTAATTTCTAATTGCTAATTCCTTTAAGGTAATTAAAGCCTTTTTTACAAGTGAGCTGAGCTGGTTCATCTTTATGTTCTTCTCGCAATCTCACTTAACGTTGTTAAGTATTCTGATCCTCTGGTAGAGGGGATTTCCTCTGTCCGTGTGTGGGGGTCGTGTGTTTTTGTCCCCTTCCTTGCCTGGGATCCCCCGCCAGGGGATCAGGGCTAAAGTTGGGTGCATTACGCGTAAGAATCCAATCTCTTTATTCAGTACTTGTTGTGAGAGATTGCGATAAGCTGATCTGCGAATTTAGAAGAGAATTAATTATAACTTTGGCTAAAAGACAAATTTATATATAAAATTACTTTACGTGCATTTCAAAGTTTTTATATCATTGTCTTTATCTTTGCAGATTATCTCCCATTACAATGGTTGATTGTTCGACGACAGTTTGGTATCCTACTTTCTAACATACCGTACGATACTGTATTTTAAAAGGTTATTATCCTCGCAATGGCTACATTTGCGTTGGAGCAACTGAACTTTTTTAAGTTTTCATCTGTCGTACTTGATGAATTTCCAATCGCCCTCCGCCAAGTTTTTGTTCACATGTGGGACAATCAAGTCGCTCCTACACCAGGCTTTCAAAAATGGGACGACTCACCTCTGGTTCGCAACATGTTTCTCAGTANGTGCATTTCAAAGTTTTTACATTGTTGTCTTTATCTTTGCAGATTATCTCCCTTTACAATGGTTGATTGTTCGACGACAGTTTGGTATCCTACTTTCTAACATACCGTATGATACTGTGTTTTTAAATTGATATTATTATCCTCGCAATGGCTACATTTTCGTTGGAGCAACTGAACTTTTTTAAGTTTTCATCTGTCGTACTTGATGAATTTCCAATCGCCCTCCGCCAAGTTTTTGTTCACATGTGGGACAATCAAGTCGCTCCTACATTAGGCTTTCAAAAATGGGACGACTCACCTCTGGTTCGCAACATGTTTCTAAGTAAAGAGGGTGGAAGGACAAAATATGTTCCAACCGGTAAATCTTTTTATGAGTGGGACTGCACAGCGCTGTTTGAAGCCACTCTCTATGCTCAGAGTTTTGCCATTCCGGATGGGAGTGGAGGCCTTTCAACTTTGCACAAATTGTACGTGAAGCCCCGTCATTTACCAAGTGGAACATTTCACCCTGTCCTTTTAATTCCTGGAAACGAAGCCGAGACGTTTGCGTTAGCGTTAGATCAGCTTCGTCTCCTAAGAAACGCACTGTGTCACCAGACAAGCACCCAAAAGATTGACAAGACAACTTTTGATTATTATATAAAATTAACAAGAGAGGCGTTTTTTGCACTTAAACAAGACACAACCAGGATTGATGAGATCGGGAAGCTTGAAGAAGGAGACTTTCCTACTGCCAGGCTTCAAAAGTTAGAAGAAGAGTTGAAGAAAGAAAAAGATGTTGACATCAAGTTTAAGCAAATCAGTGATCACCTCAACCAAATCGAGAGTCAAATTGAGAACGTACGATCAGACGTAAAAACATCAGTAACAGATGTACAAACGAAAGTGGAAGAAGTCAGGTCAGACTTCAAAACAGCAGTAACAGATGTGCAGACAAAAGTGGAAGAAGTCAGGTCAGACGTCAGAACATCAGTAACAGATGTACAAACGAAAGTGGAAGAAGTCAGATCAGACGTACTAACGGCAATAACAGATGTACAGACAAAAGTAGAAGGCGTAAAAACGGCAGCAGCAGAAGTCGAGACAAAATTGGAAAATGTCGAATCAGAGGTGAAAATTGCAACAAGTGAGTTAGCGAAAGTAAAAGCAAACATCGATGACGTAAAACAAGCAGTTCAGTCCGGAATCAAAAAAGGTATGTAAAGCGTTGGTTTCCTTGCAAAACACTGGCTGATCCGTCATTCATCTTCCTTGGTTAGGAACTGCCTTGCTAGTTGCGTATGTGAAGGTTCCCAAACCGAATTCCTATTTATATTTTTATATTGAGCAGTTGTTGGTAAGGCAATTCAACGTCTATTTGACATTGATTTATATATCGCTATTGGTGTGGCAAACAGTAAATCCAGTACATTTACTATAAAATAACAATCGGTTACACACACAAAATGTGTGGGCTCCCTGTGCCTGAATTAACAAAACCATTCAGGAGCCGATTACTTGAAGTCTTCACCTCCCATATAAGCCCTTGGAGTCAACCCTTTCCGGCGAAAAAATTATTTATAGAAATAAGTAATCGGCTCCTGTAGAAATAGCTTTCGCGGAATATTTTTCACGCCTTCTTAGTAATATCCAATCAGAGAAGAGCTATGATCATACGTCACACGTTGAGTCACAGTAGACTACGAGAAGTCCTCCATTTTTCCTCAGGGACAGCAGAGCGCGCGTGAAAATCACCCCACGCGAGAAAAGGCGACACGCGGCGGGAAGAGAGAAAAATGGGGGACTACAGACAAAGCCCAAGCTTTTGAACTAGACTGTTCACAGTCCTCTATTTTTCCGTAAGATCGTCGAGATCGAGCGCTTTGCATTACGGGCTGCCATCTTGTTTGAGTATCTAAACTACCTAGGGGGCGGGGGGGCGGTTTGGGACAGCTAAAATCCACGACGCCCACCCCCTAGGTACATTTGAAAATCAACATGGCCGCCATTAACGGTAAGACCGGGGCTATATCTCGACGATCTCACGAAAAAATAGGGGACTGTGAACAGTCTACAATACCATAGAGAACCCACGCTCGTAAACTGCAAATGGAAATTAAATGAGAGATAAAAACGTATCTGTGGAGTGTTCAGTTCTTGAATCTGCTGGGGAGCAAAGTGAAATTGAAGTTGCTCTACGATGCAAAAAACGAAATAATGTTACGATCTTTGTGTCAGCGCTTTGTCTGTAAATTTCACAATGCTTACTTTTATGTGCTTACTTTTAAATTTCACAATGCTTACTTTTAGCTCCTAACAATCCTTAAATTAGATAATATATATAAATTAAAAATATGTTGCTTTACACATAGAATGAGAAATGAGCTGAAATGAGACTGATAGCATTCCAGATATTTTCCTTGATATCCTGACTCCAGCATCGCGTATACACAATCACAATACAAGATTTGTCAGCAATCTGAACTATTTTAGGCCAAGAGTATCCACCAACTTAGGTAAGACGTCCTTTAAATTCTCCGCTCCAAAAATCTGGGAGACTGTACCGCCTGGTCTCAAGTGCCTGCCATATCATAAGTTTAAGAAAGAATGGAAATCCTGTCTTCTAACCAACCAAATCTGACCTTGCTTATATGTTCTACCACTGATATTATTTGAGATTCTATTCCTCTCTTTATTGCTGCCAATTATTTAAGCATGACGGTGTCCAACAAGAAAGCTCTTGCTACTTTGGACACCGTACACCGTTATTATTTGTCAGCTACTTTATTTTCCTACCTACGTACACTTATGTAAATATCTTATATAGTGTGAATAAAGAATTGAATTGAATTGTGGTTTGTCTTGCATATCACTGCTGGTGTCACGCGGTTGTCATTATCGTCTGGCGTTTCACTGTTGGTTTATTAATTAACGGTACAGTAATTAGCGCGCGTCAACTAAAATTGTTAAAAAATTAATAACCAACAGTAAAAAGCGAGACGATAATAACAACCGCGTGACATCAACAGTGAAATGCGAGACAAACCACATAAAATAAAGCTTTGCGAAATTTACGGACAAAGCTCCGACACAAACATCGTTTTTGCATCGTAGAAACAACTTTCATTTCACATTTCTCCGTAGCAGATTCAAGAACAGAACAGGTGAGTTTTTATTTCTCATTTAATTTCCATTTGCAGTTTACAAATAAGAGTGTGGGTCCCTATGCAATGCCAGCAACACCAGCAAAACCGCCCAACCAGAAGAATGCTGCGTTTATTCGAGTTTTATAAGCAAATATCTCGGTACAACCTTTAAACCAACACCGGTTATAGTCACGAATCTGTCTCAGCAAAAAAGCGACACATCGAAACCTTTTACAAATATATCCATCTTTCTGTTTTGCATAATATTTCTTTATTTATCTGTCTATTTATTTATTTAGTTAGTTAGTTTTCATCACAGGGTCCACAGGTTACAAAATATACGCTTGAATAAAATTCATTTACATATGTTGTTTACTATGTTTTTTTTGTTTTTGTTTTTTTTTTGAGTTAGGGAGATCGAGAACATGACTGTGATGAGGAACGAGGGCGGCAGCCCCAATCTCTCTCCCTTTTTGCCATAATGATTGATTTGCATAATTTCACTTTTTCGCTCGCGCCGCGCGTGGCAAGAAGGACGACTGCTCGCGGTTTGCTTATATGATTTGTTTTCCCAATGCACGTCACGTGATATTACTCTAAAGAACTGTGTCTTCTAACTTTCTTCTTCTTCACACGCATGATGTATTTAAAGAGAAGGAACAAATTTCCTTGAAAAATCACATGAACTACAATGGGGAACAATATAATTGCTAAAAAAGACCTTTTATTAAAGGATGACTGTACAGCTGTAGACGACTGAACGTTCACCCTAGCCTGGAGCGTATAACTCAGTCTTTTCAATACTATTGTTAATTACAACTACAAAGTTCTGATTATTCCCTGCAATGTAATTTGTTTGTGTTGTCTCTTCAGATTTATTTGTGCCCAAATCGTCCATACCTGATGAATTACCGAATTTTGTTGGCCGCGACAAAGAATGCAAAGCAGTAGAACATCATTTAACAGATGAAGTTACTCGACTGGTCAATGTCTGGGGTCCTCCTGGATTTGGAAAAACATCAGTGGCCATCAGGGTGGCGCATCACTTACAAGAGAAGAATTTTCCAGTTTACTTTGCATCCGTTCGTGCAGTGGAAAGTATGGAAGATTTAGTGTCAAAGCTGCTCAGGGTGTTCGTAGACGATAAACAGGTGCACCATATTACCTCGTCTGACCTCGTCATTCAATGTTTACAGCAAATTCGAAATCCTTTTGTCTTAATATTAGATAACGCAGATGATTTATTCGAATCTGAAGATGCTAAACGGAAACAGCACGTGCTCCGATTCATTGAGGAGATCCTTACTCACTGCAAACATGTCAAACTTCTCTTAACTACTCGCGAAAGTCTCGACTACTTAACCCACAAGCTTCCCATCTTTTTGGAGAAAATTAACGTATTGGATGAAATTTCGTCAGCGCATCTGGTAAGGCTGTTGTTACCAGATGCATCCGAAGGTGATTGCAAATGCGTAGTGAAGGAATGTGGAAACGTTCCTATGTCCATGCGACTAATGTGCAGCATCATTAAGGAAGCAAATATATCCATAAATGTGCTTTTAGATGAACTAAGCAATTCAACTATAGTTGAAGTTTTGAATAGTGAAAGCTTTCCTGACGAGTTTCGGCTGAAATCTGTAATTAACACATCTTTTAAAAGGCTCATGATTCCCGAAAGAGACGCATTTGTTTCACTTTCTGTTTTTCCTGAGTGGTTTGGAATAGAGGAAGCTCAAGCTATATTGAATGTAAAATCAGAGGTTAAAACCAAACAAATCATTCGATCATTGGAGAGAAAGTCACTTATACATTGTGGAGAAAATTTTAGCCGTTTTACAGTCCATTCACTTTTACGGTCCTTTATTAAGGAAGAAGTAAAGAATGACGAAGGGATTGAAGCTGTATTTCTAGACGCACAGCTTCACTTTTACGACTATTACACTTCTCGGTGTAAAGTTGCTAATGAAAACTTTCTGATAGGACGTTATTCAAGCGCCTTCAGAAGCTTCCTTGACCAGCGTGAGTGCATCATTTCATCCCTTTCTAATGCTCCTGGAAATGACATTACCTACACCAAGGCTGTAGACTTGTTATCTGAGGCAAAATCATTTCTCTATGTTGCACTGCATGGTGAAAAAATGTTATTTGAGCGCCTTTATAACATAGCAATAGAAGAAGCAAAAAGAAGGGAAAAGGTCGGCGACGAAGAAATGTTACTCTCTGCCAAAGAATTTCCTCTTAGTGAGTGGTATCAGCCAGACACTGCTAAAAGCTACTTCTGGCTTGGTAGAGTGCAGCGTGAAGCGGGAGACCTGAAAACAGCATTGGAGTCGGTACAGTTGAGCTTACGATTAAGAAAAGAACTGTTAGGAGATCATCCTGATACAGCCGACGACTTTCATGAGCAAGGCGTTATATATTATGCAATGAATGACAAGAAGTCAGCTGTTGAAGCATTCCAGAAAGCAGCAGACATAAATTTATCTTTGCGTGGAGGTCACATATTCACGGCACACAGCTACCACAGCCTTAGTGTGGTGCAGGACCAGATAGGGGACCGTGAAGGAGCTTTAGATTCTTTACAAAGAGCAGCAAACATGAGATCAAATCTGCTTGGTGATCACGAAGACACTGCGGACAGTTACTACTGGCTTGGTCGAGTGCAGCGTGACATGGGAGACCTTAAAGGAGCTATGGATTCTTTACAAAGAGCAGCAAACATAAGATCGAATCTGCTAGGTGATCACAAAGACACTGCCTACAGCTACCACGAGCTTGGTTTTTTGCAGCATCAAATGGGAGACCTTAAAGGCGCTTTGGACTCTTTACAAAAAGCAGCACACATGAGATCAAATGTGCTTGATGATAATGAAGACACTGCCTACAGCTACCACGAGCTTGGTGTTGTGCAGCATCAAATGGGAGACCTTAAAGGCGCTTTGAACTCTTTACAAAAAGCAGTACACATGAGATCAAATGTGCTTGGTGATCACAAAGACACTGCCTACAGCTACCATTTGCTTAGTGTGACGCAATTTCTCATGGGGGACCTTATAGGAGCTTTGAAGACTGTACAGGTGAGCTTACGATTGAGGAAGGAACTATTAGGAGATCAAGTAGGTACAGCTGACAGCTATCATCAGCAAGGCGTTATCTATCTTGCTATGGGTGCCCATAAGTCAGCTTTTGAAGCATTCCAGAAAGCAGCAGACATGAATTTAAATTTGCGTGGAGATCACATCTTCACGGCACACAGCTACCACAGCCTAAGTGTCACGCAGGTTGATATGGGTGACCTTAAAGGAGCTTTGGACTCTCTGCAAAGAGCAGCAAACATGAGATTAAATCTGCTTGGTGATCACAAAGACACGGCAAGCAGCTACCACAGCCTAGGTGTCACGCAGCGTGCAATGGGAGACCTTAAAGGAGCTTTGGACTCTCTGCAAAGAGCAGCAAACATGAGATCAAGTGTGCTTGGTGATCACGAAGACACGGTGTCCAGCTACCACATACTCGGTCAAGTGCAACGAGACATTGGAGATCTTAAAGATGCTTTGGAGTCGTGCGAAATATCGGCGAACATGACTTTTAATCTACTTGGTTACAACGAATACACGGCAACCACCTACTACAGTGTTGGTGTACAACAGCGTGAAATGGGAGACCTCAAAAGAGCTTTGAAGTCTTTAAAAATAGCACAAGAATTGACATCAAATGTGCTTGATGATCACGAAAATACGGCACATACCCAGTATGAGCTTGGTAGGGTACAATTTGTAATGGGAGACCTAAAAGGAGCTTTAGATTCATTACAAAAAGCAGCAAACATGAGATCAAAGTTGCTTGGTGACCACGAAGACACGGCGTCCAGCTGCCACCTGCTTGGTTTAGTGCTGCGCGACATGGAAGACATAAAGGGAGCCTTTGACTCTTTACAAGAGGCAGCGAACATGAGATCAAATGTGCTTGGTGATCACGAAAAAACAGCACGCAGCTATCACGAGCTTGGTGCTGTGCAGCGTGAAATGGGAGACTTCAAAGGAGCATTGGAATCTTTTCAAAAAGCAGTAGACATGAGAACTAAACTACTGGGTGATCACGAAGATACGACGAGCAGCTTGAATGAATTACGTGCTGTGCGGGGTACGCGTTCTCTCCTTGGCAAAGTGTTTCGGCGGAAAAGTCGACACAAAAAATAACGTTACGAAATAAACGGGAGGTAGTAAGTGCACAGTTTTGTTGAATCATACCTCTTAGCAGTGGATCAAAATTTGTTTAGTAAATTGCCAGGAGCGCTCACCAACCTTAATTGTCTTCATTCGCGTCACAGCGTTTTCTGCAACTTGTTGAATTTTAGGAAAACGTTTTTTCTCGAACTAAGACTATTACAGGAGTCGCAAACACGAGTCGGCATAAAAGCAGTATTGAAACGTTACTTTTAGTATTTATATATATGTTTTAGTAGTTTACAATCGTATCTAGGTTTTTCTGCACTTTGCAACTGATTATAAATCAACATTAAAAACCTCGATAAGGATATGTTTAAACAAACTTATTGTAATGTATTGTATATCACACAAAGGATGCTAAAGGATAACTCAAACACTTTAAGCCATATTTGGTGCTATTCACCCTAGGTAAAGGCAGTACATTTGCATCCGGCAGATTGTAATTACACGTTCTTACGTTATTAAACTCATCACAAATAGATGAGCTTGGGAACTGGTGCCTAAAAGGTTAGCGGGGCGCCAGATGCCAAGCTGCAGGGGAGGTATCCATGGCAACCCTGGAACGCGGGAACCACCCAAAAGAGCGCCCGCTAACCGGCACCGTCACACTGAAACAATCAGTGGAAATAACTTACCTGAAAATACTTACCCTGATGACCCAATGCAAAAGAGGGAGGGAGGAGAGGGTGCAAGAATCCGCAATGATTCGCACTAGCAAAGCGTTTGATCCGCAAAGATCAGCTGATAACACTGCACGTGTAAAGCAATGAACCTTGAAACCCTGTGAAACCTCTAGAGGCCACCCCAAAGGTCACGTGCCGCAGATGGGGGAGACCGCTGGCTGCATTTGCTCACATTTTAACTTTGCCTAAATGATATTTAGCCACATTTAAACTCATCACAAATAGATGAGCTTGGGAACTGGTGCCTAAAAGGTTAGCGGGGTGCCAGATGCCAAGCTGCAGGGGAGGTATCCATGGCAACCCTGGAACGCGGGAACCACCCAATCAAAACCCTTCTCCTGGTGCTTGGAGAAAGGAGGAACCGCGAACAGGGGTGACATGGTACCTCCGATCCCCAAACTGCCCCCAAGCACCAGTAACCGAAAACCAAGGTAAAGCTACAACATACCTACAGAAGCTGACATGGCCAAGTCCAAGACCCAGGAACAAGATGCTATAGGAACCAGATACAAGGGCGAAGCAGGCGTTGCAAGAACTCCCATCAAGCCCGGCGTCCTTATGTAAAGCTGACAAGCATTGCTGGACAAGCGGCCCATTGATTGAATTAAATGGTCAGGTACTCCATTGCAAGCAGCGACAGTAGCGGCCCCTATGCGAAAGCTATGGCTGGAGAAGTTTCCCGGCACCCCTAGCTGGGGCCATAATCTGTCGATGCCAATCCGTCAAGATGATGTGCAAGAGAGGCTGTCCATTGTGCAACAAAAACAAGGAGCCAGGGCCATCTCCCCTAAGCGCAAGGTAATTCATTACTGCACGAACTGCACAGAGTGGATGCCTGCCCAACGCCAATGTGAATGAAACAGCCCTTCCAAAGTGGATCAGTCTTCGAGCCCTTGATCGTGACGTGCATGCAGGAGGGAGGTAAGTTAAGCAGGCATTGCAAGAACTCCCATCAGGCCAACTTGATGGAGAGGGCAGCTAACGCTTCAGCTGGCGTCCTTATGTAAAGCTGATAAGCATTGCTGGACCAGCGGCCCATTGATTGAATTAAATGGTCAGGTACTCCATTGCGAGCAGCGACAGTAGCAGCCCCTATGCGAAAGCTATGGCTGGAGAAGTTTCCCGGCACCCGAGCTGAGGCCATAATCTGTCGGAGCCAATCTGTCAAGGTGTTGCGCGAGAGAGGCTGTCCATTTTGCAACAAAAACAAGGGGCCAGGGGCATCTCCCCTAAGCGCGAGGTAATTCATTACAGCGCGAACTGCACAGAGTGGACGCCTGCCAACGCCAATGTGAATGAAACAGCCCTTCCTAAATGGGTCAGTCTTCGAGCCCTTGATCCTGACGCGCATGCAGGATGGAGCTGAGGGCGAATCCACTGAAATATCCTGGACACCCAAGTGGAGTGACGACGAGAAGCTAGACAAATTGGGAACGGTAAACTCTGACGCGCGAAGAAGGCCAAAATATCCAAGAGAACAAGCTGCCCAGAACATGCAGTGATCCGGGAGGTGAAGATCTAAAGACTGCCAAATAACCAGCATCAGATCATCGGTAATAGGAAGTCGGCTAGACGAAGAAGAACCTTGACAGCGCTTGATACCACGTACTACCCGCTGAAGACGAAGACAATTAATGAGCGGATCAGGGAACCCATGGTCGATGTGGAGAGCTCTAACCCCAGATAAATACACCTTGATAGAAGAATGCTTAATGGTCCTAGCAAGGAAGGTGACAAAAAGGCAAAGCGTCCATTCATCGGCCGGGCAGGGTAACCCTGAGGGATGTAACTTCCCCAGCTGACGACAGAAGGAAATAAACTGTGCTTGGGCAGAAGCATACGAGCGACGGGTAGATGGGGCCAGGCCTTGGGTCAAGAAGGAATAGCATTGCCGCTCTAAGGTGAAGAGGTCAAAGCTGCCAGAAGTTCTGGGGGGATCCACGTAGGATGAGGCTGTGCATCCGGAACCAACTGCCTGAAGTCCTGCCAACGAAAACGAGACAGAGCATCAGCTATCAGATTGTTAACCCCAGGCACATGTCGAGCAGAAAAGGAGAAACTATGACGAGCAGCAGAAAGAAGCAGGCTACGCAGTAACTGCATCAAACTAGGTACTTTCGAGGTCCGGGTGTTTAGAATATGGACCACCGCTTCATTGTCAGAGCGGAACAGAACATGCCTCTTGCACCACATGTGGCCCCATACATGGGCGGCAATGACGACTGGGAAGAGCTCCTTATAAGCAATAGACTGCTGCTGCTGAGAAGGGGCCCAAGAACCCGCAAACCAGTAGCCCTTCAGATAGGCCCCAAAACCAATCGAACCAGCTGCATCGGACGACACTTCGACCCCCGCCTCTGGGACCAGACCCGGGAAAAGCCAAAAACTAACACCATGCCAGTCAGAGAGAAAGTGGTGCCACCACCGGAGGTCCAAATGAAATTCTCTGTTAAGCCGAACTGGGTGATCTCTTCTTCGGAAACAGGACAGAAGGTCAATCATGCGGCGCAAAAAGGTTCTCCCAGGCCAAACCACTTTAGCAGCATGGTGCAGATGTCCAATGAGAGATTCTAGTTCCTGCCTATTACACCACTTTCGTGGAAGCCACGAAGAGATAAGTTCTTTCAATGCGGACAATTTCTGGGCAGGGAGACGAGCCTCTTGATTAACAGAGTCCAGCTCAATACCAAGGACTACGAGCACAGTCGAGGGGCCAACACACTTGCCTGGGTGAAGAGGCAGGCCCAAACGCTTGCAGACTGCTAGAGCGGTGCGTAAATTGTGTGCACATTGAGAGGACTCAGGGGGGCCCATAGTGATGAAGTCGTCTAGGTAATGAAGCAGATCAGGGATCTGATAGGAGTGCACGAGGATCCACTCCACCAAATCGGCGATCGCATTGAAGATGAATGGAGCTGAACGAAGGCCAAAGGGGAGGGCTAGATCAACATAGTACTGGTTACGCCATTTCATCCCCAGCAGGTGACGGTCGGACGGGTGAACAGGAACATTGCGGTACGCGGATTCAACGTCAAATTTAGCCATGAGGGCCCCTTTCCCCAAGCGAGACACTGAGCGAATAATTTGATCCACAGTGATGTAATGAAGAGTAAACTCATCTGCGCTAATCCCATCATTGACACTAGCCCCCCAAGGGGAAGACAAATCCACAATGAGACGCCATTTGCCTGGTTGGCCCTTTTTCGGAATGACACCAAAACTACTAACTTGGAGGTTTGGGAAGGGGAGGGAATTGAAGGGGCCTGCCACCCTACCCAAAGAAACCTCATTTGCTAAATAAGCATCAATGACAGAGGCATGCTGAGTAGCAGATGGCTTGTTCTTCTTAGCGGGCTTGAGCTTTTGGGAAGGGGAAAAACCTAATTTAAATCCATGACGAATGCCATCCAGGACAAAGTCAACCTGTGGCCGCTGCGGATGGAAGCGCAACTCCCATGCAAACTGCTCCGCCACTAAGGGAGTAACTGCTGAAACTGGGGGAAGAGGAGCTGGAAAGGAAACGCAAAGCATACAAAGGTAAATAACTAGCCCCATGGCAAAGAACCCCCACAAACCCCAGAAGAAGGTGTGCAACAAAACAGCTGGGACAGTCAACATAAAACAACTAGCTTTAATCACACCCGAAGAAGTACATGTGGAAGGCCACTACTAGGAGGCAGACTAATTACACAAGAGTACCGAGTAACTAGGGAACAAAAAGAAACTCTTATAAGTCCAGTAATGTCCGCACTTGAAAATTTAAATCGTCTGACCTAAGGCAACCTAACAATGATACAAATGAACACCTGACAACCAACGAATCTGATCGAGTTCTCTAGCGCCTAGACTTGCTGCTAGAACGGAGAGGGGAAACATCAGCCGGCCGTTTGGAAGAAGGACGAGACTGGTTTGATGCCTCACCAGGGCAGGCTCCAACACGATGCGGGCCAAAGCAACTAGAGCATTTGTGAGCAAAGCGGCACGACGACGAAGGAGCAACACAACGGCCTCGGTTCCAAGACTTGCAAATAATGAGCGAAGACGGTGCGCCGCGGGGCTCAGAGAACTCCTCCGAAAGTTCCCCGCGAGAACGTACCGAAGCCCCAGCTGCATGAAAATTAAACAACTGCACATTGATGGTTGACCAATCTGTGAGGTTCGAGGCAGCAGCGTGTTCCCGAAAAGCCCGATCATACGCCAACCAAACTCGGCCAGCGAACTGACGGTTAGTCCGGAGAATGAGCAACTGGTACTGCATCAAATCCTTCCAGCGATGCGGAAAATGGGAGGATAAAATCAGACAATAAATCGAAAAGGCTTCCAACCAACTGGTGATGTCGTCAACGCGTCACTTGGGCTTTTTCGGAGTTGACGTAAGCACCAGCCGCCCGTCGAACAGCAATTGAGGTTCGGGCTCGTTTAGCACCAAGTTCGAAGAAAGCAGTTCGTGCAACTCGACAAACTTGCCAGCAACGATCTGGCTCACAAGTTTTGCAGGCACCGGTGAAAAGCCGGGGCCCACGACAAAGGGCTGCTGCAAAACAGGCGTCTGGGCCAGCGAAGAAATACCACCGA